AAGCGCGGAGGCGGCCCAGTCAATTAATATACTCCAACACTAAAAGTACTTTAGAGTAACCAGGTATACAAAAGGTTGTACAAATCTGCAATAAATAACTGGGCAAGTTTGAAATATAACTGTGCTTGTTTGCAAAAAGGGTTAATATCAAAAGTTCAATGAACTCTTCGTCTTTTTGTAAATCATAAATGATAGAATTTGTTGAACATGTACTAGATATTTTTATTGTTAATCTTGCTAATATTATAAATGTGAAAGTTTAGATGGATGGATGGATGTTTGTTAGAGTTTATAGACTAAACGGCTGAACGAATTTCGATGAAATTTGGAATATATGTAGAGGATAATCTGGAAGAACACATAGGCTTCTCACTTTCGTTTTTTTTAATGCCACGGACGGAGTCGCGGGCGATAGCTAGTGAATTTTATTCCTTAATATAATTTTAAAGTAGATTAGATAACTTTATATTTATTAAAGGCTGGCATCTATATTTCATCTATGGACAAAGGTTTACCCTCTGGTGTTGCGTATAGGCGTCGTTGGTCACCTGGGTGTTACTGTTTGCTCTTTTCTCTTAATTTTTTTTTAAATTACTATTATTGTCATACACTGTAATAAAATATCCGCATTATTAAAGACTGATAGTATTCTTGTTGCCGCCCACGTTGGCCAGTGGCCAGTGGCCAGTGGCCGCTCCAAGCTTTGATTCAATAACGGTTTCTTAGTATATCGACTTGTAACATATCCGTCCGACTAAGAAATCCGTTTCCTGTTTATATTTAAAAACTAACTCACTTATTAAAAAAAAAATCTCACGTGAATCTTAATATAGTAAATTCGAAAGTTTCTACACTGGTGAACGGTGTTGAATATAGTCTGGAAGAACACATAGGCTACATAATAATTTATTTTTTAATTACGCGCGAAGTCTGATAAAAGCTAGTAATTTATAAATGGAAGGACAGATAAGAACTCGTTTTACCTTCTAGTTGAATATTCTCTTCACTGAGTAGTAGTGTTTGTAACTTAAAATACGTCTATACAATTGTTAATTTATTTTGCGTAATGACCACCCAAATCGGAAACAAATGGATCATAAATCAATATAATTCATTCAAATATTGATTCGGTGTACTAGTGAGTGAAATACGATATTGTTATCTGGAATGTCGTTAAAATAGAACTATATGTTACTGATAAATGTGTAAACATCGACTTCATTCAAATTGACATGTTTGACGATTTTACGATAACGTTAGTACGAAGTGTGATTCATCAATTGACATAACAAACTTTGACTAGGAATGTATCTAACTATAAGACTTTGCACATCTTTGACTAAATTTCCTCAAAGGCCGGCAACGCATCTGTAATCTGTAGTTCCTCTGGTGTTGCGGAAACCCATGTGCGTCGTTGACAACCTTAGTGTTCACGGCGCTCGTTTGCCCCCTTTTATTATAAAAAAATTATCGATTGTCGATTGTTTCGCAGCCAATTCAACTGTTTAGTTGCACAACTAAACATCGAGTATGCACAGCCTTATATTAGCTGATAGGAATGAAAGCGAACATCTAACAGTGGTAGTGCCCGCTTTAACATCTTAGCACGAATGGGCCGGCACGCCCGGTGTAATACCACGACCACACAGAAGACAGGCGTGAAATGGAAGCAATTCCGTGTTTTGTCTGATGAGTGTGGTGCTGGAGGCCTAATTTAAATCCCTTTCTCTTTACCACCCTTTTCTTATAAGGAGAGGTTGGGAAGGGGAAGTAGATTTGACGGTGGAGGAGATGCATAGGAAGGGGAAATATCCTCTTTATGTGCGTCGTATAAGGGTAGGCAACGCATCTGCAATAGCGGATAACTATGGGCAGCGGTCGCTTCGCCATTTTGGAGGATTCTAGTGGCCGCTTGCTCGTTTGCCACCTTTTGTTATAAAAAAAATGAAATAGTTGTGCGATAGTTTAGTCATAGGTGTGCGCGCTGTAAGATGTTTGTTTATCATTTTTCTATTATAAAAAGTTTGGCAATGTACTAAACAAATGATTCAACAATCTAAATATACGTTAAATAAAACGACTTGATAGTGGGCGAAATTATTTAAACCAGTTCTAACTATCCCGTTAAAATAATGCGTCGTTATGTTCTCCCACGAACTAAAGGTTACAATTAATAAGTCATATGACACCGATATGCCACCTGACCCTAAAACATCCAAACTTCCCAAGTTTCTCTTTCATAACACCAAAAGACCGATACGCCATTAAAATACCTCGCAATTCGCCTAAAGCCGCTCTGACAAAGTTACGTTCACCGTGAAATCTTTAATTGTGATTCAATCGATTTTGTTATTCCTCTTCAAAGTTCTACGAGATATTGTCACGCTATTTTATGTATATTCAATTGTTTTGAGGTGTCGATTTTGATATCAGAAGCATAGAGAATATGTTTGTAATGCAACTGCTTTACTGGTATTCAGCAATGTGTAGTTCCTCTAGTGTTGCGGATGTCTATGGGCGTCGTTGTCACCGCGGTATCCTCGGCGTATTTTCCCGCTTTTCTTACAGAAAAAACTTAAAATTACAGTAGATAAGTAAAAGACAAAGAGTGAATAAATCTATGTAATTTTTCTGCTATGATGATATACAAGGTTATATTTAATAAATTTGTTGTTAACTTTGTCGTTTTGAGTAAACTTTAGATTTTTTTTCCCAGGATAATTTGAGGAACTTGTCCCGACTTGTCGCGGGCTATCAGTAGGCAAATATGTGATATACAAGTAGCTATTTCGCGGAAGTACGCGAGTTGCCGATTTTATTTTCGGGTTAGTTATTTTTATCAGACTGTTTTCCCACGGTCGGGCTATCGCACCGCATCCGCGCGACTCCGGTCACTCGGTTGTTTTTTGCATACATCACTCTTACATATTTTCCTGCCAACACCTAAACTGTACACTAGATTGCACAATAAACGTTCGAATACTTTCACAAAAATGTTACATTTTTAATTATTATAATCAATTGGAATTAAATTTAGTATAAAATTCAATAGGACAGTCTTTTCCCGCAATAACCAACGGACTAACTAATTTATCAAGATATAATGGTGGGATTTCTTTAATTTTTAAATTTAGAATTTAATAGTAATTAAATCATATTTCTAATTGACATGTAAATGAATGCAAATTGACATAATAAACAGCCATTAGAAGCACACAACCTATTTCTTCCTATATTATTTGTTTGCGAACCATAGAATTTAAATATAAAATCTATAAATTGAGATGTTTCTGGAAATAATTCACGCAATAACATATTAAAAATTATATATTTGACGTTGACTTTGTATGTTTTTGTGATCGTGATATGTAATAAACAATCCTGTCTGTTAACACAATCGAAAAAAAACTCCTTGCCATATAATCTTACAATCGAGATATCGAAATATAGAATTGATTATCGACTCGATATCGAGTCCATAATAACATTAATGAGCGCCGAGTCCGTTACCGCGGCTTGGGTTTCACGAAAACCGGTAAACATTCATCTCACGGGGCCCGCTTTCCCTCTACTCCGGTTGGCAAAAACAAAAGGGGCTCCCAATATGGCGGCGTCGGCGGTTTTTGCTGTCCACAGTTCGATTCCAGGTTCCGAGTAGTGTCGCCAGGCCGCCTCGTGTGTTGCGGAAGTTCTGCACATCGAATACTGATGACTGAAACTGTGGAAATATTGTACAATTTTTGAGTATGTTAATTTGAATCTATTGTGTAGACTTAAAGATTGTTTAACGCTATATTTATTGTCGTTGCGTAAATATTAAAAAAATACCTTCTTAGAGTGATTTATAACTACAAAAGGTAATATCTATAATATTCTAAATATTTATATAAAATGTTCAAAGCTACAAAATTTATCACCGGAATTAACCCGCTAAGTTACGTCGTGTCAATAAGACAGGTCTGTGACGCTTGTCAAAAATTCCGTGTTCCCACGCGCCCGCGCAAGCGCCGATATCAACATGCGACAGTAAGAATATTTACTCAGACACAATGATAACAAGCCAGTATTGCGCAATAGAGTAACGGTGTTTCTTAAATTTCATCGTACTTTTTGTAGAAAATAATCTTAACCTCTCATGACCGCGGACAAATGCAGTTTGCAACTGCAGACAGCCCTTAATGCGTTTGTATACATAATTGCACAAAAAATGATGTCATTACTTTTTTTTTAAATTTAAACGCTTATGTTACACGTTCAAATCCTAACAATACATTTACAGTTATCTTTATTAATGTCCCGGTATTGTAAGTACTTTTTAACATTTTTTTCTTTTCATAATCTTAAACGTACATCTGAGTATAATTTAAAAAAAAGAACATACAAAATATTGGTCGCGACTTTGACCGGTGAAATTACAAAATATAGCCTATGTTATTTACAGAAAAATTACCTTTCTAACGATGAAAGAATTTTTAAATTCGTGCTAGTTTTTGAGTTATTTCAATACATACAAAGATCTAAAAATACAAATCTTTCTTGATAATATTAGTATAGATAACAATAATTGGATGGCATCTAACAATTTAGTTTTTCAAGAAAATAATCGCAGCAAGATGTAAAAAACTAATGACTAGTAATCGATCTTATATCGATTAAAACTCGAAACACGTTCTAACATTGCGATGTGTACTTTCAAGTTTATAAGTCCGTGTCATCAATCAAAATCTATGAAGTATTTAAACATTGTTTAAATACAAGTTGGATTTACATGACATATCATTTTACGTTAATATTTCACATGACTGTTGATTCAATTTTATTTGATAGTGAATTTTTAACGTATTTGGTTTAAAGTTAAGCGCCATGTTTGTTTAATTAGGTTCTTATCTAAAAATATATCTACGTGTGAAAAAATGTGCGAACACTTCTAAAATGTCTTAAAGTTTGTCTTCAATTTTAGTTTTTGAAGTTTGTATTTGAATTCTGTTTTTCTCTTGCAGGTTTCGTGTCGTGTTCGCCGTCGCCGTGTAAAAATAGCGGCACTTGTTTATCCACACCTAGAGGAGAATCTTTTTGCAAGTAAGTGTACTGTCAACGTAAACATTGCATGCACATAGGTACTAGATCAATTTTAGATTAGTTCGGACGAAACGTGACGTTAATCGATTATTTCTTTGTTAACTATCGTAAGTCGTAATTTTGTGTTTAACACGTTTACGTCATCATCATCATCACCAGCTCACTATACGTCCCCATCGAGGGGCTCGGAGCCTACCCTAATAAGGGGTGACTAGGCCATAGTCAACCACGCTGGCCAAGTGCGGGTTGGTTGACTTCACACATATCTTTGAATTTCTTCGTCAATATGTGCAGGCATCACGATGTTTTCCTTCACCGTAAGAACGTCGGGTAAATTATGTACATGTGAAAATCACATTAGTACATGGCGGGATTTGAACCCAAGACCTGTAGATTACAAGTCAAGTGTTTAAACCACTGAGCCACCGACGCTCATGTTTTATATACTAATCAGAAAAATGTTAATTTCTGTGTAAATAAATATTTAAGTTTTTGTTTGAAACTTATGATAATACTAGCTGTTGCGCGCGATTTCGTTCGCGTGGTACTAGAAAACATACGAACTATATAAATGTAAAAATACATTTCGGGATGAATCTTATCCCATGTGTACTCCAGACTTTGTTTTATATCTGCGCCAAATTTCAATAAGATATGTTGAACCGTTGCAGAATGATCGAGTAAACATTAAAAAACTAAATTAATGAATCCCACGAGAACCGTAACTATTCCCGGGAAAAAGTAGCCTATGTGTTCTTTCTGACTATGCTCTTAACCTGTGCCAAATTTAATGGAGATCCGTTCAGCCGCTTAGGCTACAAACGCTAACAAACATCACCATCCATCTAAACTTTCGCATTTATAATAATAGTAAGATACGTAGAAGTCATCACTTTAAACAGAAGAACATTTGCATTTCTTTGTGTTTCAATTGTTTTGCCTTTGTGCTACTAAATGCTACTTTAGAATGTAAACCGTGTAGATAGTTTATGGCAATTTGTGTCTACCATTTTTTAATTTTCCGCAGTCACGAACGTATCGACAATTTAATTAAACCGCTACTGCTCGTTGTAAGATTTATTTTGAATATATGAATACGTATTGACTATTGAAAAAATTCCAAACATTCCAAATGTTACAATTTGATTCAAATTACCCATTTTTTCGTATTGTAAGGCTATGTTCTAACTCGTAGCATTGCACACTAAGTATTTAACTAGCTGTTTCTCGGGAATTCGTCTGCGTGAAATTGAAAAAGAATAAAAAAAACCGGCCTATGTAAGTGATAATGTAGCTATTTATTAGTGAAAGATTTTTTGAAATCGGACCAATAGTTTTTGAGTTATATCAATACTGACAAAAATCCAAAAATAAAAATCTTTCCTCTTTATAATAATAATATAGATTTTTTTTTTACCTCCACTAAGATCTTGTCGTCATGGATTTTTAGAATAAATGGCTTACTTAGTCTTGGTTTATGTTGTTATAAGACTTCTTTAATTAAAAACTGATTCTATCAATTATTTTCAAATAGTATTACTTAAGTAATTTTTAAAGCATGTGTTACATTACAAGCGTCCCATAGATAACACATGTCCACATTCATATCGCCCCTAACGTTCCGGTGCGTATCGAAATAACATAATAAACAGATGTGAACCAACCCTTCGATACCACCTTTAAAGAATTCTGCACTCAAACTGTATTGCAATATGATCTAATTTCGTAATTTAAAATGTAACCCCTAGATGCAATGTGCAAAAAGGAAAAGGTTACCCTAACAATACCATGTTAATTTCTTCTATCAATTTATGGACGTTATTTTGTGTATCTATCCACATAATAAAATTTGAGTGTCTGTTTGTAATACCAAAAGTAAAATCGGGAACGGTATTTGCGTTGCTGATAACGAAAATCGCATATAAAATGTTTTGTCTGTCTGTCTGTCTGTTCGAAAGCTGCGTTTGTTCCGAGTTATCTTCGAAAGGGCTGGGCCGATTTCGACTAGACTTTCATTGAAGGGTAGCTGACATAGAAGGGCATATTATAGGCTATTTTTGTTCTTAAAATTGCGTAGACGAAGTCCCGGGCACCAGTTAGTCTATAATAAATAAATAAATGCGATATTTATGTACCACCTAACTTTTTACATTTCGTAATTCCAGAGATACATTATTATGGAATATTTGCATCAATTCCGGTAGAGTTGAGCCCTTAAGAGTATTTCTGGTCGCCATATACGTATTATGGGCAGTGAATGCATTAACAAATGCGTTACGGACAATACTAACCCCTACTTTATGTTCGACTCGAACGTTTATCACCTTCGAATAAAGTTACGAAGGTTAATAGTCTATTATTTTATAGAATAAAACCCGAGAACATCAAAAATAAGTAACATTTGCTCTTATTTTAATTACCCTCTAAAGTTCTAAAGCCTTTAACGTAACGTAACTCACCAAATTATCACTCGAACTAATCTCATCGTTGTGTACACTCAACAGCAAATGGTAGAACCAACATTTGGTTCGCGGAACCCTTTGTTTTCCTCATCGAAGGTGCTCATTAAAATCGCTCTCCTACTTTGGTAGAACCCAAATACGGAGGCGAGAATGAGACTCGTACTTACCACAGTATCTCCTTAGTACTCTGATTATTTCTCATTATTGTACTCATTACCATCTTAAAATAAGAAATTTTGTAAAACAATATAATCGACCGATTAGTTTAATTTTAACAAAGGATAATACCATCGTTATAAACATATCTTTCCATTTTAAAATGTTGATTTGTAATTTTAAATCTTCTAGCGAATTGTTCATTTAGACAGAATAAATCGTTAAAATCCAACATTACAAAGCCGATACACGCAATAATCGATTCCACAAACAATAAAGCATCAACAAATCGACTCAAGAACGTGACTTGTCATCTGTATCATACAACTTCATACATACATTCATGTTATGTTCATAGTCCATTTTATGATGGTTGGATGGTCAATTTAGATGAGTCATTAGTCTTGGTTATTACAGTGACCTGTGCAACGATCCTCTAAATTCCGTACTTACGTTTACGCTGCGATATTTATTGAATATTTAAGTTGGCCGAAATATCAGCTGCCAGTGATTTTAATATCAAATTTCAATAATTAAAAAAAAAATATTAATTCTTGGTATAATTATTTCATTACAGCGTTGAGTTTATGTTCTTGTCATTAGGGTAACAAAACTTTAAGTCCTTTAGAAACTTTCTCAATGCAACCTTAACCTCTTCGAATCTCCACATTTAACATACGTAGTCCTAAAATTATCATCATCAACTTACCCTTATCCCTTATGGAGGGTCGGCACAGTACGGCTCTTCCATACATCTCTATCAGCCGTCATATCTGAAACCACTCCTTTCTTAAGCATATCCCTCTTTCACACAATCCATCTATACTTTCTTCGGTCTTTCTCTTCCTTTGTAGCTATCCACATTCATTCTTAACACTCTGGTTTATGTCCCCATCGTCTCGTCGCTAACATGTCCATACCACGCTAACCTTTTGCTTCTCAATTTCTCCACCACTGGCGCTACTTTCAAACTTCCTCTAATATACACATTCTTAACTTTATCCATTCTTGTCACACCACACATCCATCTTAACAATAGTCCTAAAATTATAATAAATAGAATTCACTTATGATTCAAACCCGGATGTTCAATAAAACTTGCCTGTAAGCTCTGGTTATTTAAAAATAATTTTCGATCACCAATTTCGCTGCGGCTTTAAAAGCATCAAAGATACACCGATAACACAAGATGTGGCAGATAAGATCACTGCCCGGAGGTGCGTACTTATCGTCTAGACGCTGCTAGATGTCGGCGAACTAATGCTATGTTCACACGAGGACAGAGTATACAATGCAGTACTGCTATTAGTCGATTGCTTATTTACTTTCATTACAGCAAGCCTACAATAGTATGTCGCTGCTCTGTGTCTTCGTTCCTCCCTCGTGTGAAATCATCGCTAATGGCGGTGGGCGGTGGCCTAAATACAATGTCGTGAGTTTGAACTGAGATCTGACACTTTGGATTACTTGTTTTTTTTTATTGCGTTGGGTTATTTATTAAGGAAACACAGAAGAAAATGTCGTTCGCTTTATATAAAAGGAAATAAAAGTAATTAATGCACATTATTATGATAAAAGGGTCCAAAATCTCGTTTTACAGGTTGTCAGCGAAGGAAGAAAAGGTTAAATAAAAATTTCCAAATATAATTTAATACTGACTAAGGAAGTTAAAGTCAATTTAATCATTTAAAATTCCACATATATTGTTATAATAAATAAAAAACGTCGATAATCCACATTTATATAAGTATTTATGTCCACATTTTGCGGTAACCGGGTCTCAAATTACCCAATACGTGTTCCAACATTTTTGTTTCGTTATTACGATGATTGTCTTCCAAATTGATATCTGTCCAATTCAATCACGTCCAATGAAATTGCTTCAAATCGATCTCACAAATGTTGATTGTTAATGTTGAAGCAATTTGCAAGTTTTGAAATACTGATTCATATAAGTAGACAGACCCACAACTGTTTTTGCTTAGTCAAGGATAAAGTCTGACAGATTTTCAATACGAAGCAATGTTTGAGATTCGTTTCAGAATTTGACCGTTAGATTTATATCTTATTTTACTTAGGACATAATAAACATAGTTGACTTGTAATCTAATCTTGTCACTAAACATTTATTAATGTTGTATAGAAATGCCTATTGTACCGTTAGGTTAGGATAGAGCAATGCGACTATAGTTAGATTAGTCACAGTCTAAGAATGGTGCGTCGTGTTCCGTCACAAATAACATACAAATAATGTTTTCGTGCGACCGGGGTCGCGGGTTCAAAACTGCGACTTCACGGAATCAAAAGCGGTACGCAAACCCGGCCGGGGCGAGTCTTGTTTGAGATTGAGGTCTCGCAACAAGGGTAGAAAGGTTTTTATAA